TGGAAGAAAAGAAATAAGTACTATGAATTAAAGAATATGCTAATGAAAATAGAAAAAAGAAGAGATGACAAAATAATTCCAGTAGTAATTTCAATCAATGGATTAGTAAATAAAGAAAGTATCAGATTAATAAAAGAAATAAAAATTGAGATTGACATCGAGAAAGAAGTAAAAACCATGTCATAAAAAACATGAATGATGTCATGGAATATTGCTTCAATCACAACAAAACCTACACTATAGAGTTAGTAAAATGAGTCATGAATGAGATTAGTCTCTGATGAATAAGAAACAATAGAAGCCAGTTCTATTAATATTTAATTATCTAATTTATTATTTTAACTTCTTAAAATGTTTTTTTTTCTTTTGAGTTTAACTACCTCTTAAATCAAAACAATGAAATAATAAATTAATCAATCGACTTTCTTTTCATTTTGTTTTTTATTCTTCAAATTCTTCTTCATCATTAATATCTTCAAATTTGATATGTTTTGGATCTTGTTTTTGTTCTTTAGTTTTTCTTTTTATTCCTCCTTTCTTTTCTTTTTTTTCATTTTTATTTGGACAATCTCGATCTAAATGACCAATTTCACCACAAATAAAACAAGGACGATTATTGCCTTTTGCTTTTGGACAATCACGACTTTTATGTCCTGTTTTTCCACAAACAAAACATTTTCGTTCTGCATTTGGACAATCTTTACTAATATGACCAGTCTCACCACAAATAAAACAACAATCACTTCCTTTATTTTCGTTTTGAGGACAATCTTTACTAGTATGACCTATTTTACCACAAATAATACATTTTTTTAATGCTTTTAATTTTTCTTTTTCTTCTTTTTCTAATTGTTTTTTAACTTTTTTTGTCATTGCTTTTTGTCCTCTTTCAGATATTTTTGCCATACTAACTTCTAATTCTCCACCTTCAACACCTCTTCCATTCATTTCTTCAACAGCTTTTTTAGCATTTTCTTCATTTTCAAAATCAACGAATCCACATCCTTTTGAAATTCCTTTTTTTTCCATTAAAATAGTTGCTTTAATAGCACCAAAGTCATCAAACCTTTCTTTTAAATCTTTAATCTTCCAAGTATTAGGAAATCCTTTAACAAAAATACATTTTTTTTGTTTTTGTGCAACTTCTAATTTAGCACATTTTGATAAATGACGAATTTCAATATATTCTTTTGCTCTTTTAGCTTTTTCTACATCTTTTTCTTTCTTTAATTTCATTTCTTCTTCTTTTTTCTTTTTTAATTCTTTTTTTGTTTCTTCAGATTCTACTTCAACTTGAAGTATTTTTCCTTCAACTTCTTGTCCATTCATTTCTTTAATTGCTAAATCTCTTGTTTCTGTATCTGGAAATTCCATAAATCCAAATCCTCTTGAATTTCCTCTTTTTCTTTTTACTACTTGACCAATTATTGGATGATATTTTTTAAAATATTTTGAAAATTCTATATCTCCCCATTTAAGTGGAAGTCCTCTTATAAATGCTGTACAATTTCCTGATTTAATTAATGTATTTTTTTGTAATTCTTGAGAATTTTGTGATTTTATTTGTTCTTTTTGTTTTGATGATGAAGTAATGTTGTTTTGTGTTTCCATTAAACGTATTTTATTTATTTTTTGTTTTGGTTTTTTAAAAGAAAAAACCCTAAAAACATTTTTTTATTTTTTTATTTTGTTTTTTGATTTTTATTATTTTTATTATTTTTATTATTTTCCAATAAAAAGAGAAAAACACAAAATATATTTCTAACAAATAAAAAGAAGTATATTAAACAAAGAATAATAATAACAATGTTATTTTATTAATAATATTTATATTATTATAATTCTATTGAATTAAGCAAAGAGTAATGGAAGATTATAATTATAAATTGGAATTTGATTAATTCTTTGAGTACTTCTATCAGGAGAAGAAAGAGAGAAAGAAGCATTAAATTCTTTATTACAACCAGCAGTAAATAAACAATTTACTAAGAATGTTTGAATACCAAATAAGATATTTTTATTAAATTCATTATTACAATGCTTTTTTTGAAGTTCACATTCTGCAATAATCATACAAACTCTTTTTGATTTTGTTTCATTAGAAGGAATATAAGATGAAAGTAATTCATCGAAAATAATTTCTCTACAAGACATACAAGCATCTCTAAATGAAGTAAAGAAACTTGGATCACAAACCGGAAATGATTGAACTATTTTAAGAGAAAGTAAATGTTTAACAACTCCATATGAAAAGAAATCTAATATTTTTTGATCTTTTTCAAATGATTGACAAAATGATGATTGAAGAAGATTATTAGAAAGTGCATATCTTATCATTTTATGAAAATAAGAAGTTTGTATCATCAGATTGAATTATTTTAATATTTTTTCTGTTTTTAAGTTAAATACTTGAACAATGAGGTTTTAAAAAAAGAAAAAGATTTATTTAAAGGAAATATTTTTATTAAATTTTATTATAATTTTAATTATCTTTATACATTGTTTTTGTGTTTAGAAGTATTAAGAATCAATTAACTACTTTAAGATTCTTCTTATGACAGGATCTTGAAGTATTATAAAATTCAAACTTTTTTAAAATGAAATTTAATAAATAAAATAATAATAAAATAATAATAAAATAATAATAAAATAATAATAAAATATAATCTTCTTATACTTTACTCACAAATTTCTAAATATTTTATGTATTTAATATATTCTTTTCAATAAAATTATTTTAAATTCAAATGAATATTAAGTAATATTAAGTAATATAACATTATATATTAAGTAATAATTATAATAATTATATTCTTTTCTTGAATATATAACTCAATAATAAAAAAAAATATAAATAAATAAATAAATAAATTAATTATACCTTCTGTTTTTTTATAAATATTATAATTACAAATCAACTTTAAATGTTAATTTAAAATATTTTATTCAAAAGAATTGAATATCAAAAAAAAAAAAACACAAAACAAAATTTAAAAGAAATTTAATTAATAATCGCATCTACGAAGTGTTTGTTTAATGCTAGCATCACAAACAGCAACAGGAACGTTTTTAGCTTTTTCAGTTGGTTTAGTCCAACCAGCGAAAGGAACAAAATCATCGAAAGTTTCTTGTTCATTTCCAATATAAATTAAAGGATAATGAACAGCAAGAGGATGAGTATAATCAGCTCCAAAGATATTAGACCATTCTTCTTTACCAGTTAAAATCATAATTGGTTCACCTAAATTAATAGTAGCACCCATTAATTCATTAAATGTTTGTTGATTAAGAGTTTTATCAGAACTCCATTGACCTTCTCTAATTTCAAGAATAACTCCATGATGTGGTAAATCTTCTGTTCTTACTTTATATGTTTGAAGTTGTCCTCCAATATTACCACATGTAACACATGGTCTGAATATAAATTCTATATCATCACTTCTAAAACCTGCTCCTCTAAGATATGCTCCATTCTTTAAACTATTGAAATTAAATTTTCCATCATTTGTAAATGCTACAAGTGCAGCTAATGCATGTTTTCCTGCTAAACATTGTGCAAGTTTTGGTGTAATTAAATCTTTTCCAATAATATCTCTATGTTCACACATAGCAAATGCTATTGCAATAAATAATGTTATAACAATGAATTTCATTATAATCTCTAAATTTTTTTAGTTCATCTTAATTAATTTTTATTTTTAATTAAAGAATAGATTAGAATAAAGATGAAACTTCTTTTTTTCTTGATTTATAGTTTCTCTTTAATTTATTTTTCTTATTACTTGGAATTTAATTCTTTTTAACTCCTTTTTGTTTCACTTATTTTATTTTTTCTTTCTTGTTAACTTATTAATAAAATAGAAGAAGGTTTTATTATAAGATCTTGTTATTATTAAAGTTTATGATTTTTGAATATTATTTATTTTTATTTTCTTACTATCCATTTCTTCTTCTTTTTTTTTTGTTAATATTAAACACCCTTTTTTAAAATATTTATTTTTATATTATTTCTTTCATTATACTTGAATTATATAAATTTGTTTTAATCATTTTACTTATTATTACTTATTATTATTATTTGTAATGTATTGTTGTATTTTAATAACAATATTTATTTTAATAAAATTATATCATTCATATAATTTAATTAACTCTCAATTAATAAGCCATTTCTCAATTGAAGTTTTTTGTTTTTACTTTTGTTAATATAATTTATTTTATTCTTTTTGTTTTGAGGTACTATCCTTCCAATTAATAAGTCATTTCTTTTTCTTCATATTTTGTTAATTGATTGTATTATTTTTTTGATTGACTTGAATTACATAATGTTAAAACTGAAAATACATTTTAAAAGAAAATCATAAAGATAGAAAAATACCTTTTTATGGATTTGTTACTTTATTTACCAAACTTACAACACTTTATTTTTACAATAAATTATTTACGATGAAAATAACCAATCAATTTCAAAAGTCATTGGTTCATTGGAAAATTAAAAAAGAAAAACATTATTTGTTTATTATCAAGATTATTCTAAAAGGAATATAAATAACTAAATATTCAACGAAGAAACTCCTATTAAACCAACAAAGATAAAATTAGAATAAGAAAAAAAAAGCATAAGAAAATGAATAAATAGTAATGTTCAAATGGTTATAATAATATTTAAGTATGTAAGAAATGATTTAAAATAAATATGCAAAGAATTAGAATTAAAAAATTATCACTTCTAATGGTAAAGAAATAATAAAAATATTAGATGGTTAAATAAAATAAGAGAAAATAACTTATGTTGTTGATTCATGGCTCATTTCAATTAATCAAAAAGAAATGAAAAGACAATGAAAAATGATGATGTAGAACATTGCCACAAAAGAAATAAGATATATAAAATTAATAAAGTAAATGAAAAGACACATAAATATAAGAAGATTAAAGAAATTCAATAAATAATAAAAGTATTAATAGAATCTATTTGAACATTATTGAAATTTAAACAACTATTTTATTGAACAATTAAGTTATTTTTATTAGGTTGATTGGTAAATTAAAAAAAATACAAAGTTAAAAAAGGAGAAAAAAGGAAGAATGATTTGTAAAGAAAAGCAACCAATCAAATCAATAAAGAGGAAATTAAATTTACAGTATTTAATGACTTTTTACAACGCCAACAACATAAATTTATGAAAATACATAAATGAAGGAAACAATAAAAAAAAAGAATGTTATATTCTATTACATTCAATTTTTAATAGAAGATAAGTCAAAATCCAAGAACTGAAATATTTTATAAGTAAAAAAACACAATGACAGATGATATTCCTAAACCAATTGCATTTCAACCAATTGATTTATCGTTTGTTTTTTTTATATTTAAAAGAGTAAAATAGTTAATATAACAACTTATTACAATAGAACTATTTATAGTGAGAGTTGTTCATACACTTCAGAACGTATGACTCCTATGAATATTCTTATTCCACCAAGAGATAATTCTCCACTTGGATTTGATGATACTAGTTTATCTCAAAGCAATTCAAATAGTAGAATAAATAGTAGAACAGGTAGTAGAAGAACAGATTTACTGTCACCATTAGACTTGTTTAAAACAAAATCAAGTTTAGATGTTTATGATGACTTCTTCATTTTCCAATAATTCAATATGTTTTATATAACAAATATAAGAAGATTTATTTTAATCATTAAAAATAAGAAAAAGATCTTGAAAAATAAAATGTTTAATCCTTCAAACATCAAACAACAACTTACAAAAACACATTTAATAGAATTTATTACAGCTACTATATTATTTGTAGTTGGTATGATATTAGAAGAATTACCTGGTTATCATATGGAAATTCCTCTTGAAAGAAATAATGCAATGGTATTATATAAAAACCTTAATAGTACTATTCCAAGTATTTTATGTTTAATTATTTCAATTAGTTTACCAATTACAGTAATATTTCTATTTGCAAAGAAAAGAAATTCAACTTATTATTTTATTACTGTGTTCATAGTCTTCTTCTTTTCTTTTTCAATGAATATCTTTCTTACTAATGTAATTAAATTATTTGCTGGTAGACCTCGTCCTAATTTCTATGCTATGATTGATGCTGGAAATATGAAAGATGCATATAAATCTTTTCCAAGTGGACATTCTTCAATGATGTTTAATGGAATGATGTTTATTTCTTTATTACTTTGTGGTGAATTACATGTATTTAATGGTAATGGTTCTTTGTTAACATTATTATTATCATTACTTCCATTAGTAATGGCTGGGATTGTTGCGGTGACAAGAACACGTGATTATTTTCATAATTTTGATGATATTTTAGCAGGAAGTATTATTGGTTCAATCATTTCATTGTTGTCATATATCACGAAATTTAAATCATTATGGGGACAAAATGCTGGTGAAATAGAAGAAGAAGTTAATCTTGAATTTGATAACAACTATGTTGTTTAATTTATTTTTTCGTTTTTTTTATTTCTTTATGAGTTTTTTTGTTTTAAGAATTATAAAAAAACCCTTTACAACTAGATATTTTTAGAATTTGATGGAAGGAGTAAAAGAAGAAGATATTATTTGTATTGATGATTCTTTAGAAGAGAATAATCAATTTATCACTTCTGGTGATAGTGATATTTTGATTATTGAAGATGATTGTAAATCATTTCAACAAAAGACACCAGATCATTTTATATCTTCAACAGCAATACATAATAAATATCCAAGAATCTCACCTTTAATTCAAAAAGAAGAAAAAACAAATAAATTTATAATGAAAATGACAGCTTCTAATCATAAAATTTCATTTAAAGAAGATGATGAAAATAAAACGAAAGAGTGTTTTATAGAAAAAACTCAAAAATATGATGAAAAGAAAAAAATAATACCAACAATGATACCATACTTTAATCAGGAAGAAGAGAAAGATATTTTTGATGTAGAAAATGATGAAGTGATTGATGTTGATTCATTTGATTTACCAATTGATTCAACAAAAAAGAAATATGTTAAGGGAAAAAAAAATCCTCTTTTTGATTTTAGATTTACATTTGATGATTTCAAAAGAAGAACAGACATTTGTATGAGAAGAGCATTTACTGTTGATTCAGACAAAACTAAAATAAGAGACGATGCATTTCATGTTGAAGTACTTGAAGATGATACATTTGAAATTGGAATACATTCAGTTGATTGTTCTGATTTTGTTGGAATTTCAAAAGATCCTTTAAGACAAATTCAACACCAATTCAAAAGACATCAAAGAGAATCAAAGACAATGTCTAAAATTAAAGAAAATATGTCATTTGATGCAGGAACACAAAGAAGAGCACTTTCATTAATTATTGTTATGAATGGAAAAGGACAAATCATTCAAAACCCACAATTATGTTTGTCTATGATTAATATTCGATGTAATTTAAATAGTGAGCAATTTAATTGTTTGTTAAATAATACAGCTGTAAATAATCCATTATTATGGAAATCTTATGGAAGTTATGAAACATTTAATTGTGGAAAAATATATGGAACAACACTTCCACAATTAAAAAATGATATTATAAGTCTTCATAATGTATTTTGTTATCATATTGGAAAGAAACATAAAAGTATGTTAAGTGGAAATGATTTAGTTCAAGAATTAGGAATATTTCTTGGAAGATATATTAGTCAATATTTATATAAAATTTATGGAGAATATGCATTAGTTATAAGTGTAGGAAATCAATTAGTTACACAATTTAGAAGTCCATTAAGAAAATACTTTGATGTGTTAGTATTAAAACAATTAGTTTGTGCAATGGAACATGAAAGTGTTGAAAAAATGAGTCAAAGAATTATTGGAAGAGGAAAGAATGAATTAAAAAGAATTATTAAAGAAGTTAATTTGATATATGAAGAAAGAAGGAAATTAATGTAAATTAATTTTTATTTATTTTTGATTTGTTGGTTGTTGAGCATCCAATGATCCTGATTCACGTAATAAAAATTCAACCCAAAGATCTCCAAAAGTTTTATCCTTTAAATCATATTTTGGTGGTTCATCATATTCATCTGTTTTACCAAAGAAATAATTAAACAATCCAGTTTGAGTAGTTTCTTGAGAAAGTCCAAGTAATCGTTTTTCTTCGTCAGTAAAATCCATTATTTTAGACATAAGATTAACAATTTCCATTCGTTGATGTGGTTTTGTTATATAACTAATTAATAATTTGTTTACAATTCTTTTATCAACATAATAAGTTTCATTCATAATTTTACTTTGTAAATCTTGTGTAAAATTTTCTACTGTTTTTTTTAATGTTTCATTTTCTTCATATAATTTAGTAATAGTTTCATTCCGTTGAATATTTAATTGTTTAATTTCATCCATTTCTTTTAGTTGATTAGTAATATCTTTTATTTCTGTATTAAGTTCTTCATTTTCTTTAACTTTTCTTTGGTTTTCTTTTTTTATTTGTTCTAATTCTTCTTCTAATATTGTGACCTTTTCTTTAATAATTTTTTCTTGATCTTCTTTCATTTTTCTTCCAATACCACTTAGTGTTTGAATAATTTTCTTTTGTTTTTCAATTTCAGTATTTGCTCTTTCAATACTTTTTTGTAATTCTTTATTTTCTTGTTTTACTTCTTCAATTTCTTCTTTTTGTTTTTCAATGACTTGTGTGTTTTTTTGTAATTGAGAAATTTGTTCTTCATATCCACTTACTATTTCTGTTTGAGCCTCTTCTTGTTTAAGAATTAATCCCTTTAATCGTTTAACCTCTTCAATCTGTTTTTTATTTTCTTCTGTCATTTTTTTAATCTTCTCTTCATATTCTTTCTTCATTTGCTCAATCTCATTTATTGGTGAAGTATCTTCAGACATTTCTCAATGATCTTTTTTTTTTTAAGTTTTTTCTTTTCAATATCATTTTTTTTTTGTAATTCAATTATAAAATTGTTTTTTATTTTAGAAGATATTTTTTGATTTTTTCTTATTTTAATATCCTAAAAATAATATTTCTTCTTCTCTAAAAATAGTGTTGACTTTTCATTTCAATTGAAGAAAAACATTTGGATGAGTTTTAGGCAAAAATGGGGAATAAGAAGAGAAAGGAAACAACAAAGTAGATTTGGAATTTTTATTTACATCAAATACGTTTCTTTTGTGAAGATATTTCTTCTTTTTTATCTCAACACCCAGGAAACAAAAAATGGAAATATAAAACAGGGGTTGAGGATTGTTTAATTATCAAAAAGGAAGATACTATAAAAAAACGAAAACTGGGAAAAGTTAAGTCAATGGTTTTTATTTCCAATACTATTAATTCTGCTGTTGAAGTTCAACTTATGGAAGAAGTAGGTCATGGGACTTTTAGCAGAGTTTTCAAAGGTAAAATGCAAGAAAAATATGTTGCAGTTAAAGTTCTAAATACTGTAGTTGATTGTATTAGAATGGAAGTTAGTTACATGAGAATGTTTCATCACCCAAACATTATTTCTTTTTATGGAACTATCCAAACAGATATACTTGTTATTCTAACTGAATATATGGATTCTTCTCTTGATAATTTGTTATATAACCAACAACAATGTCCTGTTTCTCTTCAATTTGAACTAACATGCCCCATTAAAGTTCATATTTCTTTAGAAATTGCTAAAGGAATTAAATACCTTCAATCCTTAAACTTAATTCATGGTGATGTGAAACCAGAAAATATTTTAGTCAGTGCTGATCTTAAAGTTAAACTCAGTGACTTTGGTTTAACAAAGAAACCAACAGAATTTAGTGAGAATATTCATGGAACTCCAAATTATTTACCTCCAGAAACATTCTTATATAATGAGTATAATATCACTTGTGATATTTATGCTTTCTCTATGGTAATTTGGCAAATATTTACTCAACGATTATTGTACATTAAATATGAGTCGATGGATGATTTGTCTTTAGAAGTTGTTCATGGAGAAAGACCCATTTTAAATAAAATGGTACCAGAAGTTTATCATAAATTATTGACTGATATGTGGAGTAATCAAATAGAACAACGACCTAACATTGAAAAAGTTATAAAAATATTGTCTTTAGGATATTTAGAAGAAATAGAAAATGACTCAGTTAAAAATGCATGGTGTTGTCTTTGTCCTAAACAAGTACTTGACTATAAACTATCTTATCATTATCTTAACACAAAAGGTAATTTCAAAAATATCTTTAGAGGAACTGATTTTGTATCTGTTAATGACTTTAACTTCGCTTGTAACTGTTTTGGTAATATTTGGGATGTTTCTCTTCAAAGAAAGATTAATGAATTTATTAAAAATACTCATCTTTTTATCAATTGGACTAATTACACTATTACAGCAGAATTAAATAAAACTAAAATAGTTATTAAAGAAGATATATTTAGTGATTCTTTCATTGTAGATGGTGGAGACAAAACATATCATATTAAATCTCTTTGGGAATTATAAAGAGTTATTCTCATTTGTTTTTATTATATATTTATAGTTTATTAACTATTAATTTATATAGTGTTATTTATTTTATTATCGTTATATATTACAATTTTATTTAAACAAAAAAAAAGAATTTATATAAAAAGAAGATAATGAAATGTTAATAAAATTATAATTTATTTATTAATTAATTAATTGATATTAATCACATCATATATTATTAAAATGAGTATTTTATTTGTTTTATTTATTATTTAGTTTTGAATTAATAAGAATGTTGATTTTCTATTCATTATTCTTTTATTTCTTTTATTGTCTTTTTATTCTTTTAGATTTTCATCATTTTAATTATTTTCATTGAAATATTATTTCTTTATTTCTTATTTTATGAATGAATATATCATTATCATTATATTATTATATTTAATTTCATTTATTATTGATATCATCATTTATTTCTTTTTCTTTTCTCATTATTCTTTCATATTATTTTATTTCATTCTTTCTATTATTATTTATTATATTTCTTATTAAATTACTTCATCATATTCAATTATTATTTGATATTTCATTATTTGATTTTGTATTAATGTTTGTGTTGTTTCTGATATTCATTCATTTCTCATTCATTTTCATTTAATAAAAAAGAAGAATAAAAATAATGAAAGAAGATAAATAAAATAAGAATAAAATAAGATAAAAACAATGATATTGTTATTATATTATTATGTTATTTTAGTTTTGATTTTATATTTATTATTTTATTTTTATCTTTTATAATCATCATTCATTTCTTCTTTTTGTCAATTCCTCTTTTCTAAACATCACTCATTTATTCTATTTATTTCCATTTCATTCTATTTTTTTATTCTTTTTGTTATTTTATTTAGTTCATCTTTTATCATTTGTTATTTCTTGTTTATTCATGTTTGTTGTATATTTTATTATTATTATTCTTTATTTTATGTTGTGTTATTCTTATTATTATTATTATTTTATGTTGTGTTATCGTTTAAATATAAAATAAGAATGAAATAAATGAATAAGAAATAATAATATAAATATGTTGATGTATTTTATCATTTCTTTATTTGTTTATTCTTATTATTATTTCTATTATTTTATTCATTTGATTCATAATCAATTAATTCAATGAAATATTACAAATAAATTGTTTATTTATTCATTTTATTTCTATTTCATTCTTATTTCTTTTCTTATTTTATTAAAAACACCATCATTGGG